GGGTGAGGAATGAATATATATACTCAGAACTCTCAGTTCTTACTTTCTGTTCAGTGTTTCTGTAAACCTAAAACTGCTCTAAGAAATGGTGTATTAGTTTAAAAAAAAACAGACTATAAAGATCATGTATGTACAATTCTCTTTCCTTAGCGTGTGTATGTGTGTTTGCGCATGAGTGTGAGAGTATGGGGGACCTGTGTGGAAATACTCAGGAGGGTTACATCAAAATGTTAATTGTAGCATTTTCCAGTGTCGGGACTGTAAGTGATTTTCTCTTTTTAACTGGTGTCTTTCTGCACTATCTAAATATTTTATGGTTGTTTGATAACCAGGAATAAAAAAGTATTGTTTTTTAAAAAAAGACGACAGCAACAGTTACAGAGAACACGGGGCTCCTGGGTGGCTCAGTCAGTTAAGCTTCTGACTTTGGCTCAGGTCATGATCTCAGGGTTCTGGGTTGGAGCCCCGCATCGGGCTCCCTGCTCAGCGGGGAGCCTGCTTCTCCCTCTGCCCCTCCCCATGGCTCATGCTCTCTCAAATAAATAGACAAAAATCTTAAAAAAAAAAAAAAAAAGAAGAGAACACCACCACCAATGACAAAAAGCAGCAAATCTATGATCCTACCATCTAGAGATAACCACTTTAACATTTTGTTATCTGTCCCTTCAGGCTAGTTATAATAACATATGTATCTTGTGAAATATATACAGATACAAACATTATGGGTAATTTTGCAACATATTTATACTTTATATATATATATAATTTTGTTCCATTTGTTTTAAGCTTACTTTACTCCTATTAAGATTTACCATGCTGTGAAAATCCTTTGAAAGCATCATTTAAAAAAATGTTGTGTAGTAATCTATACTGGGAAATCCTATCACTTACTGAATTTTTTTTTCACATTTTGATGTTATAAACAACATTGCAGTGAACGGTATTTTATAAAGGTATTACATGCTGATTATTTCAGGGCCAAGGGCATTTCTTTTTTTTTTTAAAGATTTTATTTTTATTTATTTGAGAGAGAGAGAATGAGAGACAGAGAGCATGAGAGGGAGGAGGGTCAGAGGGAGAAGCAGACTCCCTGCTGAGCAGGGAGCCCGATGCGGGACTCGATCCCGGGACTCCAGGATCATGACCTGAGCTGAAGGCAGTCGCTTAACCAGCTGAGCCACCCAGGCGCCCTGGCCAAGGGCATTTCTAAGGTGATTCAAAAGTATCACTTCAAGTAAGTAGCAAACCAGATAACTAAGTCCTTAAGATGAGAAATGGTTTAATCCCATCCCTGTTTGCATGGAAACATTGCATTGAACCAATTTAGAGTCAAGTGTTCTTTCTAACCTTAAAATTTTCCAAATGTACCTGATGCCTTTATGAAAAAAGTCCTAAAATAGAAATCTGAATTTATAGACATTAGAAGTGGCTATTCAATTTACAAAAGATGTGATACATATAGTTCAGTCAAGATACCAAACATCTTGGGGCGCCTGGGTGGCTCAGTTGGTTAAGCGACTGCCTTCGGCTCAGGTCATGATCCTGGAGTCCCGGGATCGAGTCCCGCATCGGGCTCCCTGCTCGGCAGGGAGCCTGCTTCTGCCTCTGCTCTCTGTCTCTCATGAATAAATAAATAAAATCTTTAAAAAAAAAAAAAAGATACCAAACATCTTGAGAATGATTGCACTTAACTTTGGAGGGGGGCGTGAGAAGCAAGTGTGGAACTAAAGATCCTTTGGAAAATCTCATGAAAACTATGGCTCCTGCAATCAAAAAAATGTCCCTGTGTGGGTATACCCATATTTTTGGCCCTCTGCTGGATGTGATGATGGTCCATCTGTGATCCTCAGGTTGAGGCCCCTCCTGTAGCATTTGAACATGACTCAGGACTTCAGTTCACTGAGGCATTTCAAACAAAATCACTTTCTATTTGTACAGTATTTTATAAAAAAAGTCTTTTCCTTTCAGGTTTGATTCAAGCACCCCAATTGACTGAAATAAATAACATGAGCATTTCTGATGATATGTAGGTTTTTTAAAAAATAGTTTTACTGTTGAGCTTTTTTTTTGGTCAAATATTGTTTATGAAGAATGTTAAAAGCAACTGGAAAGGAAAAATGTCACAGAGAACAGTTCCCCTGGGTGGAGTCTAGGAGATTCATGCTGTATATAAGCTGCCTCTTATCAGAAAGTTACCAGTGACGCCATATCTTTCTTAGTAAAGCAGGCAAGACTTTTTTTTTTTGACCCCTTGAATTACTTACTGATATCAAGGGGAGACAACCCTGATGTATTCATATATTTTCAAAGTATATAAAGTCCTCTGTTACCAAAGGAATTGTTCCACAGAAACCCAAGGCTTGAGGGTATTCCTTTTTAAAGATATTTTATTGACCATTGTGGTTTGGAGATTAACTGAGTCTATACCTGGAGATTAATTTGGAGGAGGTGATGAGGGGACTAGCATATGGATGGGGTGGAGGGAAAACAGGGAGTATTGGGCTGTTTGGGAATAAAGGCATTTGAGCCACTTGAGGGATGTGCATGCTGCCCCGGGGGCTCCCTGTGCTTCCCAGGCTCGGTGCTAAGTGCTCTACCCGTATCTTCTCATTGTTCTCCTAAACAAACCTGTGAGGTGGCAGATATTACCTCCTCTTAAAAAATGAGGAAACGGACCCAGAGAAGTTTAAGTAAATGACCCAAGTATTTACCCGAGTAAATAGCAGAGTCAGAATTTAAACTCAGGAATGTTTGGACCCCAAACAGACCTACATGCTTTACCATGATGCACACCTCCATCTAAGCAATGCTGATGTTATGTAATTTCTCCCAATTTGGTTTTTGGTTAGCTGCCCAGAACTTTTAAAAAACAAATGGCACATACTCCAGTTTATTTATTTATTTTAAATATTTCTTTATTTATTTCAGAGATGAGGGGAGGGGCAAAGGGAGAGGGAGAGAGTCTTAAGCAGACTTGGCTCTGAGAGCCGAGCCCAATGCCGGGCTTGATCTCATGACCATGAGATCATGATCTGAGCCAACACCAAGAGCCCAACACTTAACTGACCGTGCCACCCAGGGGCCCCACTCCAGTTTATTTTTATTCAAAGTAGGAGGAACTGTTGTCACCAGGATGGCAACATAGGTCGTTCCTGACTTCACTCCCCTTCACAAGAAGAACAACTACCAACTATTCAAGAACAAGACCCACTGAGAGAATCCTAGAACACAAGGATAAGACTGAAGCACCTCCTGTACCTCAGAGGCCAAGACAGACTGCCTGAGAAGGAGGAGACAAGTGGCTACATGTTGACTGTATTTCTCAAAAGAAACTTTTCAGGCCGGGAAAGAATAGGATGAATATTCAAAATAACTGTCAACCAAGAATTCTATACCTGGAGAAGCTGTCCTTCAGAAACAAAGGAAAGATAAAGATTTTCCTGAACAAACAAAAGCTGAAGGAGTTCATCTTTATAGCAGCATTACTTACAATAGCCAAGACATGGAAACAACGTAAGTGTCCATCAGTGGATAAATGGATAAAGAAGATGTGGTATATGTACACACACACACACACACACACACACACAGTGGCAATACCTGGCAAGAAGCACAGGAAGAAGACTATGGCCAGATTGAGTGGTTTCTTTTCCACAGGAGAATACAATTTCACAGAATTGGGAATTTTAAGAAAATATTCCCCATGTCTGATAATCATTTATTCATCAAATTTTTTTTTTGGTAGTAGATGCTGGAAATACAATGATGAAATAGTCAATGTTTCTGTTTTCAAGGAACCCATAGATGAGAAGGAAAGAATATATAAAAAAATTTCAGTGTAGGGTATCAAGGGCCATAATCACAGGGCCTTATGAATGCACCTGGGATAGGCGCCTGAGTCTATTGAAGGAGTCACAGAGAAATTGTTCCAGGGGAGGAAACATCTGTTTTGAGCATAACTGTCTATTCAATTTGTGGAGTCCTGTGCAAAACAAAAATGCAGATCACTTGTTCAAAAATATTAAGAATGGCAATACGGAGACAAGAGGATTAAATCAAGCGTAGGCACTTCTAATTGAATTTCCTTTCACTTGGACTTCAACACCCACAAGAGGAAAATTCCAAACCATTGTTTAACAAAATGAACCCAGTCTGGGCACTTATGCCACTTGTTTCTTTTGAAATGTCGTTATTACACAACTAACATCTGTGGATCTAAGAGAATATATTTAAATCAGTTAGGTGTGGCTGTAATTTTTGAAAGAACCATAGAATATTAAAACAGGTCATGATTGTTTATTATTTATTGCATTTCGCTCAGAAAAGGGCAGGGAACTTTCTGGGAACTTCAGGGAATATTTAAATACCTTTTTTAGTATTTAAATACTAAAACCAAACCTCTGAAAGAAATAATTTATGTAAATGATAACAAGTTAAGTGTTAGGGGCGCCTGGGTGGCTCAGTTGGTTAAGCATCTGACTCTTGATTTTTTTTTTTTAAAGATTGTATTTATTTATATGACAGAGAGAGAGTGAGCAACAGAGGGAGAGGGAGAAGCAGGCTCCCCTCTGAGCAGGGAGCCCAAGGTGGGGCTCCATCCCAGGACCCTGAGATCATGACCTTAGCGGAAGGCAGATGCTTAACCGACTGAGCCACCCAGGCGCCCCTGACCTTTGATTTTGACTTAGGTCGTGATCTCAGGGTCGTGGGATCAAGCCTTGCATGGGGCTCCCACTCAGTGGGGAGTCTGCTGGAGATTCTCTCTCTCTCCCTCTTGCTCTGCCCCTACCCACCCTCTCTAAAAATAAATAAATAAATCTTTTAAAAAAAATGTTAGGATGTTTGTTGGAAATGAAAACAGAAACTCTACATGTTGATTATCAAAAGTAGAGAACATGGTATCTGTGGAGTATTGTATTATTGTTAATTTTTTACTGCACTTTCTTTTATTATGTTATTTTACTGCACTTTTTAATAATTTTACACATGTCTGTTGACAGCCATACAATTTGCAGTGCTTCTCTCTGGGAGGAGTCTACTTCCAGGTGTCATTGGTATCATGCTGGGCCATGTGATTTGCTTTGGCCCATGGAGTGAGAGGAAGCGATGTATGCCACATCTGAGCACGAGTTTCTGGCAAACACCGAGGGCCATTGCAGTTTGGCATCTATTTTCTCTCCCCTGCCACGTCCAGTGTGTCCTGGAGAGAAGCTGCTCCTTCAGCTTGGATCCTGCATAAAGAAACAGGAGCAGAGCCATAGCCAACATATGAAATGGGACTGAGAAATAAAACTTTGTTGTTGAAAAGCAACTGAGATTTTCGAGTTATTAATGACCATAATCGAGTGAAAACTGGCTAATCCAGTATCTTATTTATCACAGGGCAACAATTCACAAATCCAGTTTTTGCCTGAAGATGTTCATTGATCCTGGTCCTTTAGAGAATGACATTGCTCTAATAATGATGAGGTAGTCTGATCAGCTGCAGAATCAAGCTGAATCCCAGAGGCAGGAATGGAGGCTGGTGTCTAACACCCCCTGCCTTCACTTCCCCACCTGGCCTGCTGCTTGCTGCCTACTTGACCTCGAACACATTGCTTGGCCTCAGCTTCCCCATCCATAAACTTGGAATAGGACTATTTACTTCATAAGGTTGTTAGGGCAGAGTCAGTTTCTGATTATTTCTTTCATATCAGTGCCTCTTTCCCATTGAGTTTTTCTCCCTCTTATTCAATTAACTTTTTGTCCTTTTTACTTTGTCTATCATTTTTAATATAGAAGAAATAAGACATTTATGGATTAATGTTTTGCTTTTCTTGTTCCTCTTTGAGTACCTGTTCCTTTACCTCTCCCCAATGGCAAACAGTATCTCATATTTAGTACATAATTTATTTTGATATCTAAATATAGTTTATTACACATATAATAAATTACATGTATAATGTACATATATACACTTATTACATATATACTTATTAGTATATAATACTATATATAACAGTATTTTACATAAGGTATTAGTATACACATAACTATATTAGTATACACTATATTGGATTCACATGTGTGTATGTGTGTGTATCTATATATATATATATACATAAATTAAAATATAAATATAACCATAGTCTTTACATAGGACCCACTTAGGATAAAAGAATTAATAAAATATTACCTTTTCCTAAAAAAAAATGGTGAGGAAAAATACTTTCATTTCTCCCTATGAAGTTTTTAAATCTTTTATGTCATTTGTCAATTTTTTCTAATTGTCACTATAGGTCAGGCCCTGTACTAGGACTAGGAACTGGGGATGAAAAGGGGATGAGGACAAAAATGGACTTGTCCCCTTTGAGCTTACCTCCTAGTGGGAGGAGGCAGAAAATAAACAATTGAGCAAATAAATAAACACAATGACTGACCAAGAAAAAATTAAGAGTCACTCTTTAATGACTGGAGAAGAATAGTGGTTAACTTATAGCTGTTTCGAGAAAAGGAAGTAACATTTATTAACTAAGTTTCAGCTAGTTTATCTGTATGATTTCATTTAAATTGTGTAATAACCTTGTGTGTAGGTCCCTTTGATGGATGAAAAAATTTGAAGTTCACATCAGTCAACTAACTTTCCTCAGATGACCCCCCTGGCAAATTGAAGAGTAGACTTTTAATTCTTACCTCCTACTTCTTCCTCCTGCCTAACGATCTCTTTTCCAGTAGGAAAAGCATATATCTTCCAGTCTACCTTTACCACTATACATCCTCAGTTATGCTATTTTCTAGACGATTAATTATTTTATCTTAAAAGAAAGCTAAATTTCATCTTTCCCTTCACCTTAAGGGCAGGACTCTTTTATAGACAGCAGGACTGTACTCAAATTCTAGAGAATACTTTCAAACCACAGTTCTGCTTCTTGAGAGCTGTGTGATTTCTGGCAAGTCACTTAACCTCTCTGAGCCTCTGAGTCCTCATCTGTACCAGGAAAGAGTGTCAGCTTTAAGGTTCTATGACCTTGAATTTTGAGTGAGTAGGGTATGGGTTCGTGAATTTTAGTATACTTTGCACACTGATGTTACACACTGATGCAGAGTCTCTCTCTGGTGATGTGCCCAAGGGTTTGTAGAACTTGGGTCACTTCCTCAGGGGGTGGCTCAGAGGCCTTGGAGAACTAGCAACTTGAATCCTGAGTCTGTAGAAGAACCTCCCTTTCCTCTACATCTCACTCTCAATGATTTTTCAGGCTGGGGAAAAGTTTGCCTGTGGTACCCTCTGCCCTTGTGGGTAAAGGAGGCTCGGGGTGACTTTAGAGACTCCTCAGTGGAGATGGGAGCACCAAGGAATTATCATTTTCTTTCCCTTCAGTTGTCTGGATAAGCGTAGCTGTAATAAAGTATAGTTCAGGAGGGCAAAAACCATTTTGGAAGAAGCCTTGAAAGTGATTCAGTTTCAAGTCACAAGATCAATTACGCAAGGTTCTAGAACTCCTGATACTATTACAGCAGATCCATGGCATGAGTTCAGAAGGTGATTCAGGATGTCTCTTTCCTTGGATATTAAAGCTCATTACCTGAAAATTACTCAGCCTTGGCCCTTAGGGAAATCTTAAGTGCCCAGCCCAAATGGCATAATCCTATTTGAAATACTAAGATCTCATGATAATTAACAACGTAGAAAAAGAGAGGGCACTTGTCTGGGTTAGACCTCATCAATTTGATAATTTCCAACCGAGAGGACAATCATCTCCAGATAACTATATGTCTGTCATATAAAGGATCTGTAGACTTTTAGCTGTGTGCGTAAATTATCTCAAGAACACTAGGCTGCAGGAAGAAAAAGGGGAATATATTCTTTTTTACGTTCCTGCCTATAAGCAGTTTTGACCAAATGAACTCCGTTTGATGATCATTTCTATTCTTGCCTGCAGATTGGACTATGAAATCCTACTTCACAGGGATGTGATGCCGGTAGCATGAAACCATGTAACTAAAGGCCTCACATGGTGCTGGGCACAGAGTAGGTGTGGAGTGGATGTCAGTTCTCCCCCTCGTATTTTGCTCATTATATACCTGTCTGATGTCTGTTAGGTGCCAGGCTCTGTGCCTTACAAGCCATGGGGGAGATGTGCAAACTTGCCCTCAACAATCATGTGGTCCGGGAAGGAAGATGAGATGTGTAAATAGACAACTAACTGGTGGGGTTTGAGAGAGCCCATGAAATAGCACCCCTTTTCCTGGCTGAGTTGAGAACTAGGAGACTCAGAGAGGGACCCAGGCGTTGCGTAGATTCTGGACAATATGGCATCTGTTTGCCCAGGAAACTCGCTAGTTCTTCAGTCAGGTACTGCAAAGGCCCCAGTTATCACAACTTGCAACCTAAAGAAGCCCAGGCCTCCTATGGGAGAGCAGAATATTCAGGGGCTGATCAGAGGTGGGCGGAGGGCCTGTGGGTAGCTAGCTCACAGGAGGGTGGGGGGGGGGAATATTCCTACAGGTGGAGCCTTTTTCCATGTGGAAGCAAGAGACGGGGGAAAGGTGTAATGAAAGAAAACCCTAATAAAGTTTGTTTCCAATTTAAATGGAAGAACTAAGAACAACTGACATTAATACTAGTACCTCATTGCTGGTTGATTTATTTGGTTCCTAAATCCTGGCTCTGTCAGAATCACCTGTGGAGATTTAAAAAGTTATAAATACCTGGCTCTGCCCTGTGGGTATTCTAAATTAGAGGATTTGGGATGGGGCCCAGACCTCTGCATTTAAAAAACTCTCTACAGATCATTCTGACAGGCATCCAGGGTTTTGACCCACAACATTGAGCAATGTTGGTTTGGTTAATCTTAAAATACACACACACACACACACACACACACACACACACACCCCTCTTCTTTAGAGGAGGACCGATGAAGATTGCATTACACTTATGTGTGAATAACTCCTTCAGATCTATCTGTCTGCCAAAACAGATAAGAGAAAGTCAAGAGAGTAGACCAATCAAAAAGTAAGTCCTTCTTCTTTGTATCGTTTTTTTGTAGAAATGACCCTGCAGATATATTTGTGCTTATCTTTGTCCCATCCTTTGTATGCTCAAAGCCAGAATTTCAAAAGGCGGTTTTCCCTAGGGACATGGATAGACTCATAACATATTCAGCTGCGGACTTACCTAACCTTTAGTGAGTGCCTACTATGTGATAGCAACGGGGCTAAGCAATCTCATCTGTGTTTCCTCAGAGGAGAGAGAGAGGCTAAGAATGTAGTGAGACTAATGAAGGCACTATGACTGGTAAGAAGGTTTGGGGACCATGACTTCATGAAAGTCCACCTCAATGCTGATGAAGACATGGTAATGCCGTGGCATGGAAACACTAGAGGCCCTGAAAATTGCTACAACTTTTGAACATACATTGGGTTATATATTTTAAGAACTAAATCTATATAAATGTTCTTACCATTTCACTCATTAATCCAATTTCTGAGAATTATATTAAGGAAATACTTTTTAAAAAGTAACATGCTATAGGTAAGAAGAGAATAATTACCATATTTTAAAATTACAGCGACATCTAGAAATTGCAAAATATTAATCATTAAGGACATAAGTAAATTATTGCATAGTGACTAACCCCTTAGTAAATGTTACATAGACACTTAAAAGTGATCACTATAAAGTCTATGTAGCAATAGGTAAAATGCTTATGACAAAATGTCAGATGAAAAAATATGAGCCAGGGTGCTATATAAGAGTTATTCAGTGGCACTGGAAGGGAATGTGAAGATGGATAGTGGTTTGTGGGTTGGAGTAGTTGAATTCGGAGTGTTTTTTCCATTGTGGATATGGTGGATAAATATTATTTGAGTTACCCTGCATTCCTTTCTACCCTATATGGACCCAAAAGGAAAAAGAAACTTTTCACCCTTGGCCAGTGAACTGGGATGATGTATGCCTGAAGTTTTTGGTGGCTTTGCCCCCCTTTTTTTTCCCTGCCAGATGAAGAAAACCTGCCTCCAGTAAGAGATAACTGAAAGCTAGAGAGATGGATCAGGAGGCAGAGAGATGGATGGATGGATGTATAGATAAAGGGGTGGATAGATTGAAGGACCCACCTAATGACAGTTTATAAGTCCCTGCAACAAACCCCTAAAATTGTCACTTTTGTGAACCCACTGAATTCCTTTCTTATACTAGTTAATCTCCTATAGTCATTTGCAATTCAAAGAATTCTGACAACAGAATTGATTTAATTGCAAACATTTTTATTCTGTTAGAATTTGCCAAGGTTGTTATTTGTTTTTAAATAAACCTTTTTTTTTTTTTTACTTTCTGAAGTCACTGGAACAAGTTGTACTTGTGTGTAAATACTGCTTTTGTGAATCATTTCCCATTAAATTACTGATTGACTTTTGGTTTCTATTGAACTATAATTTCCTCCCTTGTCTTTCTCAGCTTTTCCTGCAACATCAGCCACATTAACTGTTTTCCCACATCCTGCTTTTGACAATAGATACCCTGAGAATGCTTCCAAAGGATGATCTGAAACACAGTGTGAATCCAAATCTGTACAAGGCAGGAATATGTGGGGAATTTTGAAATAAACAACAAACGTTAACTGGACACCTACTATATGCCAGGCCCTGGGACCACAACAATGAAAATAAAAGTGTCCAGAGTACCTGCCCTTCAGGTACTTCTAGCTGTAAGTGCATGTATGTAGTCATCGGAGGTACAGGGCCCGTCCAGCCTGGGACTTAGTACTTATTATATACTTGCTTAATGTCTCTGCCAGGGCAATAGGATTATAACCAACGTTTATTGAACTTTTACTCTGTGCCACACCTAAGTGCATTAATTATTGTTATTATATTATTATTTGCTGCAGAAAGCTTTATTGTTTGCCCTCGGTCCACCGCTGGGAGACGGCTCCCGGGGGCTACAGAGCTGCCTAGCGGCCCCCGCAGAGGCCCAGGCACGCGCCCCAGGGCCCTCCAGGGCTGCCGGGGCCCCAGGCGCGCTTGCGGCGGAGCCTCGGGAAGAGCCCCGCGCCCGGCGCGCCCGGGGGGCCCCGCCTGCCGAGGGGAGTCGGGCGTTCGCTCGCGCCGTCCGGCCGAGTCCGGCGGCGGGGCCCGGGCCGCGGTGCGGCGGGCGGCGAGGGGCTGGGCGCCTGCGCGGGCGGCCCCGCGGGCCTGTCGGGAGCGGCCGCGGGGCCTCTGCGCAGGCTCGGGCCCCCGGCCGCGGGGCTCGCGAGGCTGCCGCCCGGCCTCCGCGCCTGCATGTTGCGCAGCCGCGGGCGCCGTCGGGCTTCTCCGGGGCCGTCCGGCGGGGGGCGGGGCGGGGCGGGCGGCCGGAGCCTGGGCCTCGCGGTGGAGAGGGAGGCGGGGAGGCCGGCGGCGTGCGAGGCTGCGGGTGGCGGACGGGCCTCCGCCGCGGGGCCGGGGCCCGGCGCCGGAGAGGGTGCCGGCGGGTCCCGGGGGGCGGAGGGGGGCTGAGGAGAGGGTGGCGCAGTTTGTGTCTGGAGACGAGGTTGGAGGGTGGTCGGGCGGAGGCCGGAAGGAGGGGCGTCCCTGGGTCTGTGCCGCCCCCACACCGCTGGCGCGACGGACGGGCCCGGGGGCCGCCAGGGGCACCGCTTATATGCGTTCGTCATTCTTTTCCCATTTACCAGGTGAGGAAACTGAGGAGCACGAGGATATTTCTTGTGCCCACGTGGCCGAGGTGGATGTAACCGGAGGTAGTCTGGCTTCTTACCACCCAATAGCGCCGCTCACACGATATTGTGAGAAACGTGCTCAGAATTTGCTGGATCTGATCCTTACCTCAATTTTTGACATTTTAAAAAAAGTTATGAAATTAAATCTTGGTGGTGAGGAAGCCAGATAGCTGGCCAGGATGAGAAGGGAGAGTCCCTTCTCAACTTGTTGTACTTCGAGCTGTAGAGAAAAACGATCTGAAAAAATGAATTCATGAGTACATTCTCTTCCACAGATGTTTGTTGAGTGTCTGCTACTGAGCAAATGTTGTCAAAAGCCCTCAGTTTAGTATGGGTAGATGAAAAATAAGCAAATCCTTAAAATATGCCATAGCGTGGTGAGTCCTGTAATAAAGGAATTACAGAGGCACCGGGAGGGTACTGAGAGGAGGGGGGTAGAGAGGGGCAAAGTCCTGGAACGGTTGACAGGTAAGCCGAGCACTGAAGTATGGGTTCCTACTTCAGTGGGCACGAACACTGGGAGGGGAGCTGTGTGGGGGTGGTGTTGGAAGACCCTTTAGCCAGGAGGGCCTGCTTTTAAGCTCACTGCAAAAGTGTCTTGAGAACTGTAAATGGCTCCAAGTGCAGGACTGGAAAGAGAGCTGGAAGTTATGCAAACTAAAGGAAAGCATTTGGACTTAACCTTGCGATCAGGGTCCTATGAACTTTCTCAGTTGCATACACCTAATGGTAAAAACAACTTGAGCGTGTTAGTCTTCAAATATGTAATTATTTAATACTTCATACGGATATTTATTTATGAATGTACTGTCGTCCTAGTCTGTTGTATCTCTTACAAAATACATAGGGATAAGATTACATAGACAGGGCGCCTGGGTGGCTCAGTTGGTTAAGCGACTGCCTTCGGCTCAGGTCGTGATCCTGGAGTCCCGGGATCGAGTCCCGCATCGGGCTCCCTGCTCGGCAGGGAGTCTGCTTCTCCCTCTGACCCTCCTCCCTCTCATGCTCTCTGTCTCTCATTCTCTCTGTCTCAAATAAATAAATAAAATCTTTAAAAAAAAAAAAAAAAGATTACATAGACAATATTTAAAGATATTTCTTTCTTTGCTCGCATTAAAATATTCAAAATTAGAATGAGCAATGTGCTTGAAGGTTTGAAAACTTTGGTTAGTTTAATGCTTTGTGATAGGGTAATTTAAAGGACTGGTTTTAAGCTCAGTTTATTTTGATTTCTGAGTTTAATGAAAACAAGGTACTTCAAAAAGAGAATTCCAATCGAAGAAGTGTTTATTGGCAGGATTAACTAAATCACGATGCTATTTTTTTCAAATCTCAAGCCCTATGTTCAGGTTTTTCTTGACATTTAATTACTAACTTTCCATCTTCGCTGATGTTAATAAGTCATTCTTGCAAACTCTTTGGAAGGTGTTGCAGTTTTCATTTTTAGCAATTGGTTCAGACCCATGCATAGTCTTTATCTGGGAAGTTTTAAATAGCCTAGGGAATTCTGTTTCTAATTTTCTAATATGCAGATAGGAGAGTTTGTTTTTGTTGTTTTTTAAGTGAGACACATTCATATTATTTTCAGCCATCAACTCGTTAATGATGGGGAAATATTTCCCAAATGTATGAGTTATCTCTTGCTGTGTAACAGACTGTCCCCCAAATTAGTGGCCTTAAACAGCAGACATTTATCATCTCATCGTTTTTCTGGGTCAGGAGTTCAAGACTGGCTTAGCTGTGTTCTTTTTGTCTCAGGGCTGCAATAGAGGTGTTGGCCAGTTCTCCAGTCAAGGCTGGATTGGGGGAGAATCTGCTTTTAATGTCATTTACATGCCTGTTGGCAGGCCTTAGGTTCTCACTGGCTATTGGCCAGAGATAGTAGTTCCTTGCTGGTGGGTTTCTCCAGAAAGTGAGAATGAGAGAGGGCAAATAAGATGGAAATCACAGTCTTTCTGTGACATAATTTCAAGTAACTTTTTAAATATTTTGTTTGATAGAAGTCAGTGCCTACATCCAGCCTATACTCAAGTGGAGGGGATTATACAAGAACCTAGATACCAGGAAGAAAGGATGGGGGTGGGGTGGGGGAAGTGAGGGTGTGAGGGGGAGAGGGGCAGTCTCAGAGACTGCCTACTACACCCATTTTCAAAATAGCAGATTTATTTAGAAAAACAGTTATTATTTATGATGAATATGTCATCTTTACCTTGAAGAGATATATTAAGTGTATTTATTTTTCTGAAAATATCTGCATGATCCTGGCAGCCGCTAGTCATCACAGGAAAGGTCAGAC